AGCATTGAAACTGCAAAGTTTCCCATTCTGCAAAATTACTTGTCATCTTTTTGAAATCAAGCTTTACACCTCTGGTTTTCCATTGTATCCTGGAGATCTCCAATGATGTCTGATGATGAATGATTTTTGTGTACCTGAATTTTCTGAGCTTCTTTGTGACTTTCCTCTTGTTCTACCGATGAACCATCCAATTCTTCTTTATCCTCTTTATTTGTTATCTCGTCCGGTTCTGTGTCACTTTCTTCAAGTTCTTCACTGAATTTTAACACATAATGATCATCAAATACAACATTAACTGATTCCATAATAGCACACGTTCTTTTGTTGTAGATTCTGAATGCTGTACTAGTCTCTGAGTAACCCAGAAACATGCCTTCATCACTTTTGGAGTCAAACTTTCCAAGGTAGTCTTTGTCGTTCAGTATATAACATCTGCATCCAAACACATGAAAGTAGCTCAGATTAGGAGTCTTTCCTTTCTATAATTCATATGGAGTCTTCATCGAATCTCTTCTCACATAGACCCTATTGATGATGTAGCATGATGCATTTATTGCTTCTGCCCAAAACCTCTGTGGAACCTGATTTCCATGCATCATTGCTCTAGCCATCTCTTGAAGAGTTCTATTCTTCCTTTCTACAACTCCATTTTGTTGAGGTGTTCTTGGAGCTGAAAACTGATGAGCAATTCCATGATTTTCACAATAATCTTTCATGGACTCATTTTGAAATTCTCCACCATGATCACTTCTTATTCTTTTAATACCTCCTCTCTCATTAATAAGCTGAAGAGCCCATATCCTGAAACTATCTGCTGTGTCTGACTTCTCCCGAATGAATCTCACCCATGTATATCTAGAAAAATCGTCCACCAATACAAACACATGCTTCTTCCCAGCTAAGCTTTCAATTTGCATTGGCCCCATTAAATCCATATGTACCAAATCAAGTGCTGACTTAGTCTGAACATCTGGAACTTTCTTGTGCTGTACTTTGACTTGTTTCCCTTGATTACATGGACCACATATCATCTTATCTTCAACTTTAAGCTTAGGAACTCCTCGGATAATTTCTTTGTCAACCAAAGTAGCCAGATTTTTTGTATTCATGTGACCTAGACGTTGATGCCATAGATTAAGGTTGTCTCGTGCAGAGAAACAGTTGGTTGTACGATTTTCCCACATGTAACAATTGTTTCCTGTTCTCTTACCTCCTAGAACAATGTCACCGGCTTCATCAAACGCTTTGCAATCTACTTTAGTGAAAGTAACTTCTAGACCTTCGTCACATAACTGACTCACACTAATAAGATTAGCCTGTAATCCACGAACAAGATAGACATTCATCAGCTGAGGTAGCTCTGCATTACTAGTTTTTCCTTTACCTTGTATGTCTCCATGACCTCCATCACCAAAGGTTACTTTACCTCCTTTGATTTTCTTGACGTCTTGTAAGTAATCTTTTGTGCCTGTCATGTGGCGAGAACACCCACTATCAAAGTACCAAGGACTCTTTTTCTCGCATTCCTCTGTGACTAATACCATGTTGCATCTAAAACCAAGTCCTGCTCTACTTCCTGTATCTCTTTCAGCAGTACTTCTGACTACTGTTGGATATAGATCAATTTTCTTTACCCAGATTTGACGTTTATACCCATTCCATGAAAACTTCCTTTGATACCTGAGTTTTCCCACCTTCTCCCAATACTTGTAACAATGAATCTTTATGTGCCCATTCTTTCCACAGAAATAGCATCTGATGCCTTTGAAAACACTTTTTATTGATTCATCTTGTGTATGATGAGATATTCCTCTAGACACAAACTTGATTTGTCCTGTGCTTGATTCTACACGACCAGTGTACCCTAGTCCTCTGTTTGTTTTTTCTGTCCTTCCATAACTCAGAATCTGATCTAGTTGTTTTGTTCCAGCAAACATGTGAATCTTCCGATGTTGTTGATTAAGTTCTGTTTGTAGTCCTGCAGATATCTTCCTTTCAGCGATCAATTCTTTCTCCAAATTATCAGCTTTAACAGACAAGCTTAGTTTTTCTTTCATCAAACTCAAGCTTTCTTTGCTAATCTTCTTTTCATCTTCTAGTTGATTCTGTAATAGTTCAACAAGTGATTCAAGACGTATCTTTTCTTTCAGCAAGTCTTGATTTTCTGTTCCAAGTTTAATCAAAGTTTCTCTCACCTCTTTGTAACTTTCAACAAAATCCACTTGTTGTTCTTCATCTGATTCAGAGTCAGTTTCTTCTTCACCTTCAACAAACTCAGTGATGCCTATCAATGCTACATAATTTAAGATTTCTTCTTCTTTACTCTCTTCCTCAGATTCTTCTTTAATACCAACCATTGATTTCTCTTTTTGACTACCGATACATTCATCTTGAGCATGTCCCATTCCTTTGCATGTTGTGCATTTAGTTTCTCGTTTCTTGACTGTTGGACATTCACGAATAAAGTGTCCATACCCCTTACATTCATGACATTGCATGTCAGCTTTCTTTGATGGTTTGGTGTCGTCAGAATTCTTTTTGAATGATCCAAACTTCTTCTGTCCTTGTCCTTGTTCTGCCCTTCTTAAAACACGATAAAATCTTCTTACCAACAAGCTCAATGGATCTTCTTCTTCTGATTGAGATTTGTTTTCGCAAGAAGTTAATGCTAGACCTTTAGGTTTCGTAGTTCCTCCTAATTCTAACTCATGTGCTTGAAGCATTCCCACCACTTCTGCAAAACTAAGTGTATCCGTGTTATTTGATACTGTTAAAGCAGTTTTGTATGCCAAAAACTTTGATGGTAGACACCTCAGGAACTTCTTAACCAATTTCTTGTCTTTGTACTTCTTTCCAAGAGTTGATGCTTCTTGAGCTAGTGAGCTTAATTTGGAGCTAAAATCCGAAATTGATTCATTCTCTTCCATCTTCAGATTTTCAAATCTAGAGGCCAGCATATCTTTCCTTGATGTCTGAACTTTAGCTGTTCCTTCATAGTGAATCTGTAAGATGTCCCAATCTTCTTTAGCCGTTTCACAACCCTGAATTAAGTCAAATTGTTTCCTTCCAACACTGCAGTGAATAGCTGTGAGAGCTCTAGCATTAAATTTAGACTTTTTCTTCTCATCTTCAGTCCAGTCTGACTCGGGTTTGGCTGTGAAACTTCCATCTTCATTCTTAATTTGTGGTTCTTCCCATTCTTCCAAGACAGCTTTCCAAGCTAACACATCTATCCCTCTTATCACAGATTTGATTCTTGACTTCCAAAAACCATAGTTACAATCGTCTAGAACAACCTTCACGTTTTTAACCAGTTCTTGATAGCTCTCCATCTTTTCCACAAGATCTCACCTGTATGTAATCTTCACAAGCGACCGCTCTGATACCAATTGTAAATGCAAGAGCCACTAAGTTTTGAATTAGTTCACGATGTAACTCAGGATTTCTCAAAAACTCTTTCGATTAATAGAAAATATGTTTACAAGGTTTCTCCTTTAACACTATTTTCTATTCTCACTAAGTCTTGTTCTTTAATCACAGACCGATTAAGAACAATAACTCTCCCTAAAACCCTTAGCTCTCTTTAAGCCTCTAGTTCTCTATTTCTCTCAAACTAAGATTTAACAGCTAGAAATTCTCTCTCGTGATTGTGTTGAGCTTTCTGCAAGCCTTAGCACTCCTATTTATATTAAATAGGTTGAGACCATACAACAGGTCGATTTCCAATTCTAAAACTAATTGGAATGGACAATTTTCTTTTTCTTTATGGAATAGGAAATTGTCCTTTGTCTTCATGTTTTCCTTTTCTTCTTGCAAAAGGAAACTCTTCAGTCTTCTAGAATCTTCTCCAAGCTTCTAGTCTTCTCTTCAAACCGCCATAACAAGATTCTGCATATTTCCTTAATCTTGTTCATGTTGATTTGTTCTCTTGAGTTACTTCGTGAGGTATCTTGACTTAATTCAGGAACTCCTTCAGAATCTGCATCTTCAAAAAGTACGTGAAAAGTCTTCATGCATGTCGTTCGTGCGCATACGACCAGGTCTTATCAGTACCTTGAGTAGAGATTTTGATTGGCGCAATAAAATTGATTTGTTAATTCTTGATTATTCATAATAAGTCAATTTGCTTAATTAGACTTTTTTCCAAAGAACTTGTCAATCCGTGAAATATTTTGGGTTTTATATTTACCACCATTACGCATAAAGAAACGTTAAGAGGGAGTTGACTTTGGGGTGACATAGACTTGGATATACGATGCTCAAACATGTCAAGATGATGAAATTAAACAAGTAGGGGTGTTCTTGAATCAGTTTAATTAGTTGCGTGGTATTATGATTTTTTTAAAGACGATTAGATTAGACCGAAGAAAACTTCAAACCGATCGAGCCTTATATCGCTGTAAAGTGTAAACTAAACCCAAATAGTCTACACACACCCAAATCCATGGTATAGATTTGATATTAATTTAGTATATTAAAATATATAACTTAAACCAAAGTGAAACGGAAGATAGGTAGTACGAGGAAGCCTGCCAATTTTGGATTCAAACCCATGGTTAAATCAAATGTGACTTTTCCATAGTTTAAATTTTTCAGCCATTTTTCAAATAAATGAAACACTAGTTTAAATCAAATATAATTTAACATTACATTACACACAAAAAAACCCAGTGAAACCAATTTTAATTGGACTTTTTTATTTCAAGCATCTAACGACCACTTAACAAATTTATACAAGATTGAACAATCAAAGTCAACGACCACTTGAAAGCCATCTCTCCCTCTCTCTGCCATTAAACCTATAATTAATTCTCCATTAATGATATTTTCTTTTAATTGATTTAGACAAGTTGAATTTTTTCTGACCAAAAGACACTAGTAACAAATAGCAAAAAATATTTCCTACTACGTATTATACTAATGTGTATAATTCATTTCGTCACTTGCATTTTTTTTTGGTTGGAAACTAAGACATGTATTCACGTTTTCAGAGGATTGACTTGGTACTCGTTAGGGTCTTTTGCTTGAAATGGCCAGAGTAATTTCGTGCCCGGCCTCATCGCTTATAAACTTCACTTATCGTTCAGAACTTGGAGGCTGTGACTTTCTGAAATTTGTTGGGAAATTAAGAGACTATGGATAGTTTCCATGGGATTTTGTTGGTCGCAGTTGTAACTTTTGCTATAATTCACTTTGTTCAAGCTCAGGATGAAGGTATATGTCTCTACATTTTCTTGTTATAATAGGTAGCGTTTTTTTTTCCCTAGAAGATTAAACTTGTCTCTTTTGGCATTCCTATGATCATCTTAATAAGAAAAAATACGGAATTTAACACCGATGGATTTAGCATAATTGAAAACGTTTCTAGGATCATATAGGCTATGGTCGGGTTTTACGCTCTGGAAGTAAATGTATCTTGACCCATGAAAAAGCTCTTTACAAGTTATATAAATAGCACTTAGAAAATACCAAGAACTAGGTGTTGTCCCTCAGGCATAGTATCTTGAAAAATTAGAGAAATTTGATATTGTGGTTTATATACTAGTTGCATAAGTCATTTTGTCGACAATTTTCCAAAACTTGTTTAGATATAGATTTACTATCACATGTTGAAACTTTTGTATCCGTCCTACCTGCATCGTACGTATGCATATACTACATTATATGCATAATAAAAATTGTTGTTCGTGGTATTTGATCAACTATAATAAGTAAATGATTAGGAAATTTTGAGATTGCACGTTATATATCTTTGTGGTATGGTTACAGATATAGTTTTACCACATCTAAAACTATTGTTCAAAACTGGATCACATTAAACTTTGATATATAGCTACCCACTCAGATATTTGTTTTTAGCTTCTTTACTATATCAGGGATTATTGTGTAAAACTGTCCATAGTTCTTTCTTTTGATGAATGTGGTTTTATCTTAAAACAGGGTTTATCAGTTTGGATTGCGGGTTATCTCCGAACGAACCGTCTCCTTATACCGAATCTGCAACTGGATTACAGTACACATCAGATTCAAACTTTATCCAAACTGGAAAAATTGGTAGGATTCAGAGAAATCTTGAAGCAAATTACCTAAAGCCCCAGATGACGGTCAGATACTTTCCAGACGGAATACGCAACTGTTATAATATTACGGTGATGCAAGGAACCAACTATCTAATCAGAGCTAGAGCAATATATGGGAATTATGATAGTCTTAACATTTATCCTAAGTTTGACTTGTACATAGGCCCTAACTTCTGGGCAACAATAGACATTGGAAAATATGTAAACGGTACAAGGGAGGAAATCAATTACATCCCTAAATCAAACATTTTAGATCTATGTCTTGTTAAGACAGACGATACTACACCATTTATATCGACCTTCGAGATAAGACCTCTGCCAAATGATAGTTACATCACCACATCTGGTCCGTTGAAGATGTTTTCGCGGTATTATTTAACGGATTCAGAAGACTATCTAAGGTGAGCTAGTCTTTTTTAGTTAAAAGGATCTAAAACATTTTTACCCATTCATTGTGATATTTGGCTAATAAATTAAAGATTGTGACAATGGATAGGTACCCTGTGGATGTCTATGATAGAATATGGAATTCATACACTGAGACAGACTGGAAGCAGATATCCACTAGTCTTACAGTGAACACTTCCAATAGTTTCCGTCTTCCTCAGGATGCTCTCAAAACCGCTGCAACACCGGTGAATGCGAGTGCACCGTTGATAGATATCGAGTATCCGGATTCCTCTAATGATAAAGTTTACATTTACCTTCACTTTGCTGAGGTTCAAGTCTTAAAGGCCAATGAGACTAGAGAGTTTGAAATTTCTGTGAACGGAGAATCCCTTGACGACTCCTATAGGCCTTTATATCTGCAATCAGAAACGGTACAAACTCCGTCTCCAATTATTTGCGAAGACAAAGAATGCGTCGTTAAGCTGACAAAATCAGGGAAGTCTACACACCCACCTCTGCTTAACGCCGTCGAAGGTTTTGCGGTTGTAGATTTTCTACAATCTGAATCAGATGAAAATGATGGTACGTAAGTAAATGCTATATTGCATGTTTTGTATATTACAATATGGTAATTGTAACATATTATTCAAATTTATGGCAGTGATCGCTATTAAAAACATCAGAGCCGTCTATGGAGTGAATAAAGTGTCATGGCAAGGTGATCCATGTGTTCCTAGGCAGTTTTTGTGGGATGGTCTAAATTGTAGTAGCACGGATAAGTCTACACCATCAAGAATCACTTCATTGTGAGTTTCTAACTAGATTACAATGTACTTTTTCTAACTACTTGTTTTAATTCTGTATCTTGACTTATAAAACAGAAACTTGTCTTCAAGCGGGTTAACGGGAACTATAGACGCTGGAATTCAAAATCTAACACACCTAGAAAAATTGTAAGTATATATGATCATTATTGCTTTGAAGGTGAATCCCTTATTTCAATGAATTTTGATCTCCAAAATATCAAAATTTCAGGGACTTGTCAAATAATAGTTTGACTGGAGCAATCCCCGAATTTCTAGCTAACATGAAATCATTGTTGATCATGTAAGTTTCTTGACACTTTTGGTCGTAGTACTCCAAGTGTTCACTGTCACCAATGTATGAATATTTTTTCTCCTGCACTAGAAATTTGAGCAAGAACAATTTGAATGATTCAATTCCACAAGCTCTTCTCAATAGAGAAAAGGAAGGACTGAAATTAATGTAAGAAAATAAATCCACTACCTACACACATTTCATTTAAGAATCCCTTTCCATGCGCATTCATAATTCTATACAATTGATCATTTTTTTGGCAGTGTTGATGGACATGGGATAAATCAATGTCTGCCTGGTTCATGTGCCCCAAAAAAGAATTTTCCAGTGATGATTGTTGCACTGGTTGCTACAGCGGTGGCGGTAATAATCGTAGTGGTGATGATTCTCGTTTGTGTGTTAAGAAAGAAAAAGACATCAAGTCATGTGGAAGGTACCTCCAAAGACTTATGATCAAATCAAAAAAATATTATATATTATTAATTAAGGTGTCATAGATATCATTCTCTTACTAATTTGTTTTTCTGTATAGCTAATACCCCTTCAGTAATTACGCCGCGGGCGAACTTCACACACACTAGTATGTCAGAGACATCAATCGAGACAAAAGAAAGAAGGTTTAGTCATACAGAGGTTATACAAATGACAAACAAGTTCGAAAGAGCTCTAGGCGAAGGAGGGTTTGGTATCGTTTATCATGGATATATAAACGGTTCACAGCAAGTAGCTGTTAAAGTACTTTCTGAATCATCATCACAAGGCTATAAACACTTCAAAGCAGAGGTATGAAATGCTCTAAATCTTCTGAAAAAATCGCAAAACAAAATATATGACCTATCTTTAGGAACCAATATCTTAATTTTTACATTGTTGGTATGCAGGTTGAACTTCTATTAAGGGTTCACCACATAAATTTGGTAAACCTTGTTGGGTATTGTGATGAACGAGGTCACTTGGCTCTCATCTACGAATACATGTCCAATGGAGACTTAAAAGAACATTTGTCAGGTTAAACAATCTATTGTACATCAACATTTTAATTTCTTAAATTTTAAGAAAAGATTCATGTGATGACTGATTTAGATGACTCAAAATATAGGAAAACGCGGTGGCCCTTTGAATTGGAGTACTCGATTACGAATAGCTGCTGATGCTGCACTAGGTTTGTAAAATCTTTGACCCATCTCAATCACTTGTTTTTATCATCACAAAATATTTCCTATTATATCATTAGCCATGATTCAAATATATATGTATAGATGATCAATATGTAATGAATGTATTTTTCTAATATTTACAGGATTGGAGTACTTACATACTGGGTGCCAACCATCAATGGTGCACAGAGATGTCAAATGTACGAACATATTGTTGGGAGAGCAGTTCTCAGGCAAAATTGCAGATTTTGGTCTTTCAAGATCTTTCCAACTCGGAGATGAATCCCATGTTTCAACCGTTGTTGCGGGTACTCCTGGATATCTTGACCCTGAGTAAGTGTTATTAGTCCAGTCTGGAATCATGAGATTTATCATCACATTCATCTTCATCTGTTAAATTTATACACATGTATATATCTTATTCCATGTTTTTCTTGCCATGCTAGATATTACAGAACAGGTCGGTTGGCGGAAACTAGTGATGTCTATAGTTTTGGGATTGTATTATTGGAGATTATCACAAACCAACGTGTGATTGATCAAACCCGCAAAAAGTCCCACATAACAGAATGGACGGCATTTATGCTTAATAGAGGAGATATTACTAGGATCATGGATCCTAACCTCCACGGTGATTACAACTCTCGTTCTGTTTGGAGAGCTCTTGAATTGGCTATGTTGTGCGCAAACCCTTCTTCAGAAAATAGACCAAGCATGTCCCAAGTTGTTATCGAACTGAAAGAGTGTCTTACTTCTGAAAAATCGATGAAAGGTAAGAATCAAGACACAGACTCTCATAGTTCCTTTGAAATGAGCATGAGCTTTGACGCAAAAGCTGTGCCTAGTGCAAGGTAGTATTTTGCAAAGAAGCCTTGTTTGTTATTGTTTTTTTTTTTGAGAGGAGTGCTTCAATTTGTCAATAAGAAAACGAGAGGACAAATATAGCACTCTTTTGATCTCATGTATCGGAATTTTTTCTCGTTTGAAATTTGCGTATTTACCTTCCACATTTGTAGGCTACATACTTCTTCTTTATAACAAAAAGCAAAGCTTTGGCTACTTAATCAACTGATGTACAATAACTATTTCTAGTATTATGCATAATTTATTTGATTGTGGATAACTATTTTTTTCAGATAAAAACATATTTTTGTTACTTCATAAATCATTGAGTACTTTTAGTAAGAAAATGAAAAAAATTGTTTATTTGTGTCAGATGACTTATGCTAGATACTAATTAACCTTTCTAGGTGCTTCCAACTTAACTTTAACATCAAAAGTGTTATATTCTTGCCAATTTCATTTGAAAATTAAATATTATCATTTTTTACAACATATTTAAATTATAAGTTGCATGCAAAACCAAGAAAATGATGCAATGAAACCAAGAAAATGGTGAAAATCGAAGGGTTAAAACAGGTAAAATACAAACACATCAATAACCACAAGTTGCCTTTTGTTTGTCATCAAGCAAACAATGCAACAAAAAAATTACGAAAAAGGTTTAAAAGAACCGAAATAAACATGCATAGCTTATCATTTCTATTGCACAAAAAAAAAAAAAAAAGCTGGTCGAGATCTGAATAAGGAAAGAACTGATTCTTTAACCCACAACCTAGTCGGATGGGCGCATAACTCGAAAACCATTTTGATTTTTTGACAGAATGATCGGCCTAGTCGGATGGGGCTTCTATTTATGGAAAATTCTGTTTTTAGACAGCATCAAGTTTTTCATTTTCTTCGTTTCATGTGTTCTTCTAATTTGTTGGAGAAGTAAGCTTGTTTATGTTTTAATGCAAGACGACGAGTTTGGCATTGTTCGTCTGCAGTCGTTAAATCAACAACTCAACCAACGACTGCAACTAAATATTGTTCGTTTGACCGTCGTTAAATATAGAGACTAATCGTAGCGATCAACAACCAAAATTTTTAGTTGCTAGATTTTTCTACAACAATCAATTACTAATTTTTCACCATAGAGAGTAAAACTTTGAGCTATCAAGGTTTCGATTGATCAAATATATATATATGTACCATGGTATTAAAAAGCGCACCATGGGAGTAAAACTATGGATTATCAAAAACATTTTCAAAGTTTTAATTCTATCTATACAAAAGACTTTGTTTGAGGAAAAAAGAACACTAACCTAGGTTTCAAGTTTTTCCTTTTCTTCCTTAATTGTGTTCTTCTATTTTGCTGTAAAAGTAAGGTTGTTTATGTTTTAATGCATGTCAACGATTTTAGTCTTGTTCGTTTGGTAGTCGTTGGCGACTACGATCAAATGTTGTTCGTTTGATATTCACTGGTTCCCGACCAATCCCAGCAACCAACAACCAATCCCAGCGACCAACGACTTCAGTCACTAGAATTTTCAACAATCTTCAGTGATCATTCACTAATTTTCATTACACTTGTGGTAGAAAGAAAGTGAAAAGAGTTGTAAAACTTTAAGCTATCAAGTTTTTGATTGATCAAGTTTATATTAAAAAGCCCATTGGGCTAAATTTAGGGCTACAAGCCCAAAAAAAAAAGAAACGAGTCTTTAATACAAAACTGGTTCAGATTTGTCACTCTCTGACGCAAGAACCAATCACCCAGACAACAACAAAACTCAAGAAGAGAAAGAAATCGTATCTGCAGAGAGAGAGAAATGAGGTTGTTCGATCCATGGCCAGTGTTCTTCAAGAGAGAATGGAAACGTTGTTGGCCATTCCTCACTGGATTCGCCGTCACCGGCGTTCTCATCACCAAGTTAACCGCCGGACTCACTGGTAAAGTCGTCGTCGGATCTCACCGATAATAAAAATCAAATTTTCAGCTGTATTTATTGGATTCAGATCTGATTTATATGGTTTTCTTTGTGTATCAATGTCTTAATTTTAATATTGATTGTGAAAAAAACCCTAATTTTTGTGAAATGGTGATTATATATGCAGAGGAAGATGCGAAGAACTCCAAGTTCGTTCAACAACACAGAAGGTAACACCAAAATTGAATGAAAATTTCATGTTTTAATTTGTAATTTCTTGATTTGATCTTAGAGCATTTTAGGATCGATGTAGTCAAATGGCCTTTGAGGTTTCTTGGGATGTTATCAATGGATGATTATTAGTATTAAGGTAGTGAGAAATGTAAGTCTTACCACTAGAAATGTCTGTCTATTTTGTTCATTGGCTAGTATGTGAATCGCTATTTGATTTTCTTTCGTTGTTCTTGTGTGTTTGATTGCTACATTTGGCTTGGTTTGATATTATTGACTATACGTAAACTTGTAGCCAAACTCTAAAGGTTTCAACTTGTTTTGTATTTCAGGTGATGCAAAGTGTAGAAGCTGAGAAGGCATAGTGGATGCTTCAGATTTGAAACATGTTCAATAACAAAGAAGAGCATTCTATATACTCTTTTTCTTTTCTCTGAAACTTAGTAATGCAATGGTTTTGTTCACAGTTTCTTCTTCCCATTTGTTTTGGAAATGGATTTTATCGCCTTTTTTGAATCTTGCGAGCGCACATTCAATAAGGAATTGGTTCCCCAATGAATATTAACATTTTGTTCTAGTAATCCTTTGGTTCCTAATCGCAATTAACTAACCATTATCTTTGGAAATACTAATCTCTTTTTGCTAGAGAGTTTGTCTTTCTTTTTTAGGTAACCTTTAGGTTTTCTTATAGGTTGTGTCCTAATTAGCTGTGGGTTTTTTTTTTTAACTTTGATGATCAGTTACATTGCAATATTGTTTTTTATAACATAGTTTCTTGTCAACCGCTGTGTATCCGTTAATTCATTCTATAAATAACGAACGACAAGATAAGCCAATAGACATGTTTGTTGCGGATTTTGAGCTAATATTGTTTAAGTCTAGAGACGAGTGGCTTCGCCAAAGTTGTTTACATCACCCAGGATATGAAAATATGGATTCATTGAAGCAGAGAAAGTAAACTGTGGAAAGCATGGCAAGGAAGTAATTTTTTCTTTCATTAATATAAAAGCATTCGTTCATAATCTTTATTTTTCTATAGGGACAATATAACTGTGGAAAGTATGAGAAACATATTATATGAAACCAACCAATTGCACCATGGAATTTTGAAAAGTAGAACTGATTTATAGTGCATTCTGCGTTTGCTTTAGATCCATGACGGAGTTTTAGTTCTTGGGGACTCCGAGCCTTAGCCTGAAGTCTTCTTCCATAAGGGGAAGACCTTCACGAAGCTTCACCTTTGGTTCCCATCCCAACACTTCTTTAGCCTTTGTGATGTCCGGCTTCCTCTGTCTTGGATCATCCGGTGTGTTCTCAACCATCTTTATCTCTATGCTCGGGTTAATCAGCTGCAATCAAACCAACATGTCATTAACGGACAACCAAGAATTTTAAAGCACTTACTCATATCAATCGAGAAACCAGACTCTCACCTCCTTCACTGTCTCAGCAAGTTCCACCATGGTAAACTCACCTGAGAAAACAAAGATTCAGACACAAAGCAATAAGTTCAAGAGATTGGTTGGGTTGGGTTTTGTTTTGTGTAGTGGAGGAATGTTACGGGCTTTACCTGGGTTACCGATGTTGATGGGACCAGTGTCATCTCCTTCCATGAGGCGCATAAGTCCATCAACCATGTCAGATACATAACAGAAACTGCGTGTCTGTGTCCCTGGTTTCTGAACAGTCAATGCCTCACCACTACATATTCATGACAAGAACAATAACAAGAGATGAGTAATCAAACAGGTTATAGCTCGGGAAAGGAAAAGAAATTTTGTTTGTTCGATTGAGCAAAGGGGCTCACCGGAGTGCTTGTGCAATGAAGTTGCTTACAACACGGCCATCATCAATGTTCATGCGTGGACCATAAGTGTTGAAGATTCTGGCAATGCGGATTTCTATAAAGAACAAACAAACACAAGTTAAGCAATAAAGGACAATGAGAATATGTTGATGCAAATTACAGGGAGAACTTTGAAGCGTGAGCCTTGGAAAATACAACTGACCAATTCCATGCTGCCTATGGTAGTCAAACATCAAGGTCTCAGCTACACGCTTGCCTTCATCATAACAGCTCCTAACACCTATTTTAATAGCAACCAAGTTATAAGACCGTGAATTGGAACATACATAAGTTGAGAATTAAAAGCTGATAAGTGTTTGAGCCTACCAATTGGGTTGACATTTCCCCAATAGCTCTCAGGCTGGGGATGGATGAGAGGATCTCCATACACTTCCGAGGTTGAGGTAAGCAAAATCCTGTTCGGAATAAGAGTTAGTTAGTCACAAAGGTGATATACTATATAAAGAAGGGATCAATTTGCAAACCTTGCTCCAACACGCTTGGCGAGACCTAGCATGTTCAGTGTGCCAATCACATTTGTCTTGATTGTCTTCACAGGGTTATACTTGTAGAAAATGGGAGAAGCAGGACATGCGAGATGGTAAATCTGATCAACCTCGATCAAAAGTGGCTCCGTGACATCTGTTAAACTCAAAGCCAAATATAAATAAGTAGAGAAAAAAGGCAGGAAAATTCCATTCTCAATAGCAGCAACAAGCCAGATAGTTTCGAGACCATACCGTGACGGATAAGCTCAAATCTCGGATGACCGATCCACTTCTTAAGGTTGTCCTTTGAACCGGTGAAATAGTTATCAGCAACAATCACCTGGGGAAAAATATATAAAACATCAGTAATTGATCCAATGGATAAATTATTATGTAATAGGACTAACTCAGTTGTTTGCAAACCTCATTCTTTTCGTTTTCCATCAACTTATCAACAAGGTGAGAGCCAATGAATCCAGCTCCTCCTGAGATCAAGATCCTCATATTTGACTGCACAAATTAAAAAAAAAAAAAAAGTACTCACTTCAAACATCTTATTAAGACCAAATAACAAATACAAATTCATCGCAAGGGGACATCAAACAACTTTACAATACAAACGCAATCATAGACAACCAGATGCAGAACATAGAACAACAAAGATCTCTCACAATACACAATGTAGCAAACGAATAGACCTACTAGACTGCTAACAAGCCTCTTCAGTTTTCGCACAATATCGCCACAACTCAAGATCTAAGTAGAACGAATATCCAGGATTCAATCTCAATGATCCTTATACATAGAATATGTTTTGATTCTACACAATATCAACAAGATCAAGTAAATGCAGACTTCTCACTACAAAGATCAAATGATCAATTCAAGAAACTAAATAGTATCACACCATTATGATCCAACCTAAAAACAAGGATCACAACACGAGATTCACTCTCCAACCACATAAAGTAGTAACCTACACATGATTTTCTCTGTAACGGCAGATTTCAAATGGACAAAACGAGATTCAACACATGAAATTAATGGGTATCACCAGAATCGAATCAAAATCATAACTTTACCTGACAAAACTTGGAATTACGGAGAGGAGAAGGAGAAGGAGGAGGCTTTGGGCTTGTTTGTTTATCACTTGACGCCATTGATGAGAGATCGATCACAAAAACCCTGAATTGTTGAGAAAAATCGAATCAAACAAACGAGAAAATGAAGATTCCGATTGAAGAAAGAGAAAAGGGTTCGAGAGGAAGAATACGAGATCGATGAGAGAACCCTAAAAACGAAAACTTTGTGATCTGAAGAGAGCGAATAAATAGTCTCTCACAAGTGTCGGAACTTCTTCTTCTTCCTCTGTAAAATTTTGAATATATTATCTGGAAAATTAAGATATTTTTTTTGAGAATTCTTTTTTTAGACTTTTTTTTTTGTTGTTAAATTTGTTTGTGACTTAAAAAACACGAAAAGTGGAAAAACGAAATTAATTTGTGGTGAGCTTACTCGATTACAACGACAACATTTGACCAAATGCATTATCTGATGTGGCAATTTCTAAACTTATCAAGAAACTGTATTTTGCTATTTATTTCCCTTGACCAAAAACAAAAAGGCTATTATTTTACCAAATTTTAACTTTCAATATATTCCATCTGTTTATGAAAATTAATTTGTTAGAATTCACACATACATTTTCCCTTTGATTTGGATGAGAATCCAATTCCATGGTAAATTATCCAAGTAAGTATCGAGTTTTAAGCAGAAGACTAGAAATAATATATCTACAAAACATAAAATATATTTTTGTTATAGTCATTGAACTTGATATTTAAAAAACTGGACCTATCAAAGAAACTAATCGTACCATCTAAATCTTTTTTCTAACAGTTCCAAGCTAAATAATATGCTGATTTGTTTATTCGAATTCGACCATGACACATCAAATAAGATATATATTTTTTTTGGTTAGAACTAATAAGAAGAAACTTGTTCTCTTGTTGACTTCAATTTTGTACATTACGGGTATAATAATCATTTTTATATCATCAACAAATAAAAATAAATATTGGTAATCTTCCACTAGCAGTTCTTAGTTTTACAAAACATTACCAACAATGGCAACACATCTTGTACAGAGGATGATGACAAAATGTCTCAAGATATACTGAACCATAGTTACTTTCTCCCAAACGTAAAATGTACTGAGAACTGCAACCATTAACCCTAAACCAGGACTCAAAACTACGTTGAACCGAGTGATTCTCATTATTCCGACAACGAACACGCTGAATAAGAGACAGGTTTATTCACTAATGACTATGTATATATCAACGCATATCACACATATACTATCACTATGTTTACAGAAGCCAACGCATGTGCCTGAAATTAGTTATGGATGGTTCTTACCTCATGGAAGCTTAAAAGGGTCTGCTCTCAGGATCAGCGAATCCAGCTAGTAGTGCCCCAAAGAGCCATGTCATGAGCAAGAACACTACCGCTGTCCGTAGCACTTGGCTACATATGTTCAGGCTCGGCTCGTCTTCATAGGCTAAATCAGGAGTCTGGACATTGTAACTCCAGTGGCTATCGTCTAGCTTCTCTGTTTCACTCAAGCTTCTTCTCTTGCTTCTTGGGTGTGTTTGTGGTTGTTGTGGATCTTGTTCGCTGAGATTTGAGCATCTTTTGCAGTTGCAGTTGCCGCCAAGGTATGAAGGAAGTGTCTGGAGGTATTCAGAGAGGACTCGATGGAAAGTTTCCCCTTCAATTCTCAGCTTCTTGCGTGTGGTTGGTCTAAGAATCTATGAGAGAAGAACATAAGTTTAGGCAGGGGATATGCAACGATCATAGATCCAATTACAGATCTGAGAACAAAGTCTAAGAAAACCGAAAAAACTGAAGTTAGCTCAGGTAGATTCTTTACTTGGATGAAAGTCTGGGAAATGACTCGAACAACAGGAGGGAGGCGAATGATAAATAGGCAGCCAAGACGGTTAGGGAAGTGATCTTGAAGAATGGATGAACAAGATCTCATCATCTGCATGGGAATCCTCAGAGGAGATAATCCTTCACAATCGACTAAAACAGTAAGTTCTGAATTCTCAGGGGTCAAAAGATGCAAAACGCCGTGCTCTACCTGAGATACTGAAACAATGACAATAATGGAAAATTAAAAGGATACGGTAGCAAAGAAAATACTAGAAAAGTGTAGTAGAGCCACTACGGACGTACTGATTGCCTGAGCGAAACGAGGTCTTTCATGAGATGGCAACTTTAGAAAAGCAAGCCCCAAGCGAACAATGAGGCAAGGTCGTTGGTTCTTGTCATATCCATGCCAAAAGACTAAACTTGACCATGTCTCAAGTTCTTCTTCAGATAGGATTCTGTAAGTCTCCCTCCAATGAATTGTCTTTTTTATTGAAGATAGTAAGGATGTGAAGTCTCCATTTGACACTCTATAGAATCTATGAAGCTCGTCTTCGTTGAGTCTACATTAAAATGAGACTAAACGGTTATGATTGAATGCAGAATTTAATACTGAAACTCAAAAAAAGGATCACTTATTCATATAACACTTAATCTAAAAGTACCTCTCAGGCAAGCTAAGTCTCTGCTTTTCCAGTTCTTCATAGAGTTGCCTAAGCCAGTCTTGTGAAGTTACAGAAAGTGGAGCCTCATCTTCAATTCTGTATTTACAAAAAAAGTCAAGATATGTAGGACTATGGAGCTTAAATAGTTTCAAGGGATAAGCAAAACTTCAATTGCTTCAGATTAAAGTTGTACAGTCTCAGACTATTATAGTACAATATAACAGGTAAGATTTTTACATCGCGTACCTTATATCTGATGGAGACTGTGACGTCTGTGGGTCAGATTGTGATTCTGAAGATGTATGAGAAGTGGTACCACCTGAGGCTTCTTGCTTTAACTCTGACTGGTCTGTGAGAGCCTCAGCTATCGTGAGGACCAATAATGGCCGAGACAGCATCTGCATAACGATCACACACAATAATTGAGACTCGCCGAAGATCAGCATGGGATACATAAACTAAAAAGTAAAAGATCACAGAACTACTAGTGACCAGGATTCCTCAAACTACGGCATGTATCATCAACCGTAGGCCTAAACAGCGACAAACGAAAAAAAAAGGGTATAGTGTCATAACGACACAGTATCAAACCTGCATTGCCTTGATCAACTCCTTGAAAGGAGCCCATCTCTGAATCCACTTAAGAGGAGGATAACAAAGACATTGCAACGCCTGAAGACTATTCCACAAATGAGGACATCTAGCCTTCGAAACCCTTCGAACAACTTCCAAAACAGCGATTTTCAGCAGAAACACAGCTGCATTACGAACGGTTCCACTACCAATTCTACCATTATTCCCCAATGAAACATGCTTATATATTGTCTGCTGAACCGCTCTTGGAATAGCAGCTACTAAGCTTCTCTTAGGTAACAACTCTTTCCCAGAAGAAACAGTTGCCATCACAGAGTTTCTACTTCTACCGGAATTGTCTCCCATTCAAATCAATCCCACAAACTTAAAGAATGAGCAAATACGTAACGGAACGAGATCACACCAATTTCATGTCGAAGCAATATCAATCTGCGAACAACTTTGCGTTAGTAACATTCCGATCAGAATTAATAAACGGAATCAGAGAATTCTATAAAGAAATGAACAAAACGAACCACGAATTAAATCGACGGACAACAGATCGGAATCGTTGAAGTGGTCGGAGAATCAAAATTTCTCGGCGGCGAAAGCGAGATTTCGTCTTCTCTCCGAAGTTCACAAAGCGAAACAGAAAAAGGAAACAAGAACAACACGGAATATGACACGTGTACTCTCCCAACTGTTTTGATATCGATTGATAGGTGAATCAACGGTCCAAGGGCGACAACGTCACGGGCCTTTTAAATACGTAGACCCAAGAAACAAACATCATGCTGTTTTTTTCAATTTGTCTAGAAAACGCGAAAAACTGTACGAAGTTTCTCATGGGAACGTAAGAACGGCGTGGAGTTTTAGCGTACTAAAAAAGGGAAGTAATTACACTGAGAAACAAAGCTTTCACAACAAACCAACACAAAGCTTCTTCAGCAGAAAACGTAAGAATAGTATAAATTTTAATGTCAGTTTTTTTCAAGAACATGATTTTTTTCGACCAAACACTTCATTTCACGTTCAAGAACGCGATTAAAAGATGCAAGACGGGTTTATTACAAGTAGTGTTTGGACAGTTTTTTAAAAGGGATTTTTGTCGATAAGATAAATGAGCTTTTGAACTCCATAGAAGGTGGAGTTGAAGTGTGAAAGTGTTTGTATGATCAAAACATTTCTTGAGACTTTCTCACACAACGGCTCACTTTCTTCTTAAACTCGTCTCTCTTCTCTCTCCATTCTTTCTGCAAGAGGAAAAAAACACGGGAAGGATGGTTAAACGAGCAAGCTCTGGTACATACAAGACTCTTATAAAACTATATGAGAATCCAAAGAGTTAGTATTTTAATCTGTTGATATCATAGCTAATTGATAGAGAACACTCACAGCAGCTTCAACGTTCGCAGGAGATTCATCGTTGGGACCAGAGAGCATCGATATGATACTCAACATGATACTCTCAACCTGTAATCAGCATTGTTATTTCCACTCATCAAATCTAAATGACATATTCTTGGTTTTTTAAAGAGAATGTTGGATCAATATAAAACGTACTGTGTGAACAGGCGTCCAACGCTCGCTTGCAAGCTCATATCCGCTTGGATCATCACCAGGAGGATGTAGAATAGATATACAAACACGACCATCGGGATAAACTGCAGACCATAAGACAAACATTTGCCAAAAACCTTAGCTACTCAAACAAGATCAAGAAGCAAATACTGGCATATAAGATCAATGAGCAAATATCTGAGAGAAAGAACTAACCGTTAGGATGCCAAATATCTGAAGTAAACCGCACCGTAGGTGGGCTATTAGGATAGTTTTGTGGGAATGACATAATGGCATAGAAAAATCCTCCTTCACTGCATTTACAAAGTTCCGTAACTTATGCTTAATCATTTTGTCAAGATACAAATAAAGCAATTTAATTCAATTCAATTCCACAAGAACACTACTCCAATCTAATCCAGCAAAAACAAATTCGCTCCAAAACCGACAAATCGATCCATTCTAAGCTCAAATCCACATGGATCATCAAAATCCAGAACATAGAGTATAACAAAATCTCAATGGAAACTCAAGGAACGTACTAGAGAGTATCAGGAGGTCCAATAATGGTAACGCTCCATTCGAATATATTCTTCTCATCAACTAAACCAGCAGAGAATCCATCTACAGGATGCTTACATAGATCTGAAACCAAACACACACAAAATCAAAATCAAATTCAATAACAGAGAAATTCAACATCAAACACAGATTCGTTGAGATTCTTGTACCTTTAAGCTGTTTCTGAAGAAGAAGACAAGCTTGTGAGTTCATGTTGGATGATGAGAAATCGAGCTAGAGCTTCAAGTGATCTGAGAGAAGAGGAAGAGGAAGAAGATAGAGATGGTGATTGAATTGAGAGATTTATATCGAGAAGGTTCAAAAAAGATGAGAGCTGGGGATTTTTTTTTTTTTTTTTTGGTAAGCATCGATGTTTCATTGTTCATCAAGGGAACACATGGGAATGGAGGGATCTGCTACGGACGTGTCTTGTTTACTTTTACGATTCTATCCAATAGGATTGCGAATTTTTTCAACGTTCAAAGGTAAACGGAAACACAGCTTCACAATCACCAAAGTGGCCGACTAATATAAAAGGGTAAAACACATAATTAACAAAAAGGTTAATTTTGCATTCACACAATATATGGATCGTCTTAGTGAGTGTAGTGTCGGTTTATTGTTCTTTATAAGAATGGAATTTAATTCGACCTCCAAATTTTAATTCGGTTTAGTGTTGGTTTTAGATGGTTTGCTATCGGGTTTAGGTCGTTAACCGATAAAATTACATATAGAGATATATATCCAAAGACCCCAAAATCGATTTTAATAAAATTACAAGAAAAATATATTTTAGTTAGTATCTCTACAATAATTATTTGAGAAGTAGAAACGCACCATATTGAAAGTTAGGGCATTGGAGGCCTGTGGTTAAAAGTTAGAATGATTTGTCCTAAACACCCTTAATGAATTGTTCTTCTCGAAATTTCTCCTTCTTCATAATTAGGGGTATATAAGTCTAATCGTGTGTTGATCTCTATAATAATGTCCTAAACACCCTCAATTCGAAAATCTTTGTTCTTAATTGTTAAGGGTATATAAGTCTAATCGTGTTTTGAGATGATTAGTCTTAATCACCCTTAAATTTTTTTATTTTATAGTGTAATCGTTGGGGATACGGATGTCATAATGTCTCGACTTTAATGATTATGGAATCTTAGCTTAAATTTATTTGTTAATTTTTTAGATAATTCTATATCTTAGTAGTTAAAATTCGTTTTTGTTAGTTTTCTGATTTTGTTTCTAATTAAAAAGTTAAATTGATTTGTTAATATTTTGGATATAATCTATATCTTAGTAGTTAATATTCGTTTTTGTTAGTTTTCTGATTTAGTTTCTAATTAAAAAGTTAAATTTCTTAAGATAATGATTGATGTTTGCCCTAATCTTAAAGCTATATATATTGTTGATCGGCCAGAGAATTAGGTATTATTTTTCTGTGCCCATTAGATAGTTTTCATCGTTATGGTTTTGTTATACAGCTACGATTCTGATGAATCAAATTGTTTGTCATGCAAATATTGTTTTTATTTACCTTTAGAGGTCGTGTGCATATTGTTTGTGTTGTTTGTTTTATTTTTGCATTAGTTCGTTGATTTATTGTTTTGCTGATTTGGTTTTTTGGTGTGTGTTTTAGTTTTGTATAACGTGGGAGGTTCCATCGACAAAGCTCTCCGACGAAGGTGGTGTTGACGAGCAAAGAACGAGGTTTGGAAAGGTACTTCTATAGATTTGGTTTGTATATTTTACATTTATTTACCTATTTAAATTTTTGTGTTTCTTCCTGTTATCTTATATATTTTTATATGCGATTTTATTGCGTTTTATTGTTTAGTATTGATTTTTTAATTAAATTGTCAAATAGTTTTGAATACGTGGACAAGAAGGACGGTCCATGCCTAATTGCCTATAGGCTATAGTAAATGTGTAATATTAATTACGATAATGATATGTTGTTTTTACCTTCAAAGGTACGCCATTGACCTCCATGGCTCCATATCCAAATACGATGGAATAACTCATGAGTCTTGATGAATACTTACTTTCAGATTGCTGAGACTTATGGATCAACGCTATAAAGGTATTGCCCATGATGTTGGCCAGTCAGAGATATTGGGCCGCATTCATGTTGCTCTTATCAAGGTGAACACCGCCAATCTTTTTTCCCCCTCTTTTTTTTTCCTATTTCCTTCTTCTTTGCATAAGAAACTGAAAATCTCGAACCTTGCAGATTGGGAATAACTTTTACCCGTGTTCATTCGTGGTGCTGGACTCACCTAACATGGAATTTCTATTTGGCATGGATATGTTGCGTAAGCATCAGGTACTATCTCTATAATTGACTTTAAATTTATTGCATCTGTTTCAACCAATGCAAAGCCGTTACTATCTTTCTTGCTATGTGTAGTCAGAGCCGGCCACGGCTACAAGCGAGCCAAGCACCAGCTTGCGACCGCCCAAGAGTTTATTAAAAGAAACGGCCGCCATTTGCAACAAATATTCATCAGCTCTACTGGTAAATGTGAGCTATTACAAGAGAAGAGATTTCTGGTTCGATTCCCACTAAGAACGTTTTAAAGTTTTTTCATTTTTTTTTTATAAATTAGTAATTAGTATGTCCAAAAAATTTTTTGGCTTCCGCCACCTATTTTCTAAGGACGGCTCTGTGTGTAGTGCACTATAGATTTGAATGAAAACGTCATGACTGTTGGAGGAGAGGTCCCCGTGCCCTTTTTGCAAGGTCAAATCTCTACTACCATCAATCTTGATAATTATGAGCCCTTTTATATTCGTTGCCTTTGTTTTCAATTAACCTGACAAAAACCGTACTTTCTTCAGAGAAAGACATCCCTTCCCGATTTCTGGATGAAGAACGTGTTCCGAATGATGCATCTAGCTCTGGAGCAACGGTAATAATTTTTGCATACTGTCTTCTTTAGTTTTGATGAACTATATTACAAAATAATTGGTTATGATCAAAAACTTTTAGTCCCATAGGTGGTATTATTAGTAGTCATGATTTAGTTTTTGATCTTTCTGTTATGTAGAAATTTAGTTTACCTTCTTTGTTACCGAGTTATTGGATTATAATGATAAATTTTGCTTTTGCAATTGTCAAAACTCACTGGTGACACTTTCCACGTTATGTACCACGCGGTCTCACCTGATGGACGTGTTACTCTTAAATTTATTCTTATCGCATATCTTTGTAATTATATAGTCTCTTTTTCCTTTATTATTTTCTTGTATTGGCAATTAATTATTTAAATTCGTATCAACACACTTTTTTGTTGTCACTATTGCAGGCGTTAATAACAAAAGCATAAGCAGTAGATGAAACCCAAGATTGGAGTGTCTTCCCTTCCATGAAATCTCAGGTAAAGAACATTAACTTATACTTTTGATTATATGACTGCGTCTGCTATGTGTTATATAATCTTCGTTCACGGTTTACAAATTTGTTGGTAGTTTCATTATTAGTCGACGTCGCATCTTCTGTTTACAAAGAAGAGCCCTCTGACGACGGTGACGTAAAAGTGAGTAGAAAAATCACTAATTTTATGTTATTTTCTTCATTTTCTTCATTTTCTCTTATTTTTGTGGAACCACAACATATATGCTCACTGATACGTATATTTGTTTGAATGGAATTTAACAAGTCCAGGTACTGAATGTGGTGCTGTTAATGCTTCTAATGGCTACATCAGTGCACATGTCTATGGTATACTCAGATTTTTGTTTCTTCTTTTTCGTTGAAAAAGTTATTTGCAGGTGTAAAGGAGGCATTGTTAGAAGACCCCGAGGACGAGAAGAAGACGAGTGGTGAAGCCGAGGCACGACCTGTGAGTTACTCATACTCCTTCTTCCATATCATCTGTGCGCTTGCGAGCATGTATGGTGCAATGCTTCTCTCGGGATGGACTGACTCATCAAAGAATGCGACTCTGATTGATGTGGGATGGACCTCGGTCTAGGTCAAGATATGCACCGGTTGGGTCACGACCGGACTCTACATATGGACACTCATTGCACCGCTCATTTTTCCCGATCACGAGTTCTACTAAATAGAGGGTAACACGTGTATAGTCAGGTCCATATAACTTTTGTGATATATCTTTGTTTTGACGTTTAGTTTCTATATATATATATATATACACGTTGTATCTCTATATAATTATTTTATAAGTATAAACACACCATATTCAAAGTTGGGACAAAAGAGGTCTCTGATTAAAAGTTGAAATGATTTCTCTTAATTATCCTTAATGAATACTCTTTGAATTCTGATTCTATTTTTAAATAGTGTAATCGTTGAGGGTATCATGGTCCAAACCTGTCGTATTTTAGAGAATATGGAATTTTAGCTTTTTAGAATTTTTAAATCTTGAAGATAAATTCCATATAACGAAGTGAATATTCGTAATTAAGATAATACAATAGTTTTTTTTTTTTTTTTATTAGATGTCTACGAGAAGGTAATCTCTAATCTAACTATACTAGATAACAACCCGCACATCGTGCGGGATGAAGTGATTCAAGTAAAATTATTATCCGGGATCCAAGATCCGTTTGTATAAAACGAAATATGTAACAAATTTTTTTTGTTTTATTCAAATTTGGGACTATTTCATATAAGAATATGTTTTACCCGTGAAATATTTGAACCTTGAATAAAGCTTCAACGTGATAAAAAAGTATTGACGAAATGTTACCATTTATGGCAATATGTCTTTCCGTATGTTTTAAAGATTTCGAGATTTTGTAGTATAAAAAGATTTTTTTTTTTTAATAAGTATAAGAAATCCAAAATTTAGTAAAGATGAGATTTGATAGTTTCCAAGCTAAGATTTTGTAGTGTTCCAAATCTAAGATTCTTAGATTATGAATGAATTATTTACGAAATGGTTATAATGTAGCCAGATTTTGGTTTATATACAAATGTGGTTATGATGTTTTTCTTCGAAAAGTTAGAACTCCTCCAAAAAATAGGATTTTAAGTATTCGTAACATATATAGAAAGGAGATTATCTTATTTATTTAAGTAAAAAATTTATGAAAAATGTAAAGATTTTGTAGTTTTGAATTCGAGATTCTTGAACCAAATGTATATATTTTATCATTTAAATATAAACATAAATATAAATAAAAAGATTGTTTATCCATCCGCTAAAGAAAATTTATATAAATGTAAATAAAGAAAAATATAAATATAAAAATATAGTAATATAAGATAAACAAAAAGTGTATGTTTTTAATTATTAATGGGATATATGGATGTATAAGACTAATGGCAAATTCTGTAAATAGTCTAATAAATCTTGGGTAATTATCTAAATAGAAGCCAAATCGTTGTGAGAGCGACACTTCA